ACACATGTGGGTGATTTTAAAGCAAACACCTGAGTTGAACAGGTGAGAGTGGGCGTGGCAGCAGCGGAGGGGATTGGACCAAGTGTTGAGTTTTGGCCCCCGTCTGAGACGCTCCTTAAACCAAAGCAGCAGATTTTTCCTTTTACAGTTTGACATTCATTACAAAAATTTTCAGACATTTTTGCTTTACAGCAGAGTCACATCTGAGCAGAAGGCAGCGATAAAATAAAGACTGATGGTGCAAACAACCACATGACAAACTGCGACTAAAAAGCTTCCCTGGAGGAGAGAAAACAGTCAAAGAAAGAAGTCTTTGTGGGAAAAGGTCAACCAAGCGAAAATAAAACCACACGTCTACTTAGAAATAATACGATAATGAACTGCTGTGGGGAAATACCAAATAAACTGGGCCATAAAATTATACAAATGACAAATTAGGAGCAACTATTTCCAGTGAGGGGTCATGTTTTTCCCCTCCATTTGCCATCAACAGTCGGGATTTTATTCAACTTTAACCAGTGTTAAAAGTAGAAATTAAAGAACACACAAGTTCCTGTTTATATAAAATATAACGATTATAAACAATAAGTGTGCCAGAGTATAAAAAGATAAATCACTAGTATTACTACCCTCTTTTATAAAGTGTTCATTTCCTTAATGTTTTCTGCCAAAGTGAGTCAAAATGATTTAATGTGAAGTTAAAACCCCACAAAGTATTTTCAGGAAAAATGCCTCGAACAGAAAATGTATATTTCATGACAAGAAACGCATTTTATGCTAAAAAAATAATACCCCCAGGGTTCAAGTACTACTCTCCATAGCTTGCAAAAAAATGAGGAAAATTAACTAAGGGTAATTATAATTACCATAAAATTTTAATATTAATTTGCAAACCTTTGAGAATAAGTGCAGTTTGGAAACACTTCAAGGCAGATTTTCTAGTTAAACTAAATAAGGTGCATGTGTTGGTTTATTAGCAGATCTGATTCTGAGTTTTCAGGAGTGTGATTTTAGCATTTAAACAACAAAAGTAAACATTTTTATCAGTGAGCAAACTACTACTACAGTCRTCACCTCAGCACCTCCTTACTGGACCTGAAACACATTTCCACTCTCTGATGCTAATTAACGTTAGCTTCACTAGCTTCATCCGCTAACTAGAAACAAAGTTTCCCTAACACTAAACCTGTGGGAAGGAAAATTAGCGAAAGTTAGCACTGAACAGCTAAACAAGTAAAAAAAAATTAGCAGAAGATAATATTAACACAGCTAATTGCTAACTGCTAAGATGACACTGACTTGTTGATGTTCGTTAGTTAGCGGATTTAATGTTGGCAAAACCTAATTTAACCAAAGTTAATTTGCCTGCTAACATTTTTATAAAGTTAGTGAAAAAGCTAATGTGCAAAATAAAATATTTGTTYCACTGTTAGCTGATTAGCAGGACCATGCCCACCACTGGTTCTGTTCAATGGTGGGCAGAGGTAATCAAAAAGTTAGCTTTGCAAACTCAAGTCGCTAACTAAAAGTGGAGTTTCGCTAATGCTAAACATGTTTCATAAAAATAACAGAAGCTAACACAAAACAAGTACAGCTTAATGAAAGCTATCACTGAAAGCTAATTGCTAAGACAGCTGTCATGCTATCAGTCTGAATCACACTCTTTGTCTTCTTTAAGGTGAAGACAGTGGGATTGACACAAGCTGCTTGACGTTAGCTTGTGGACCTTCACTCTGGCTATTTTTAGAACTCTAGTCACGTGACTATGTCAGCGCGACGCAGATGCACGTACAAACTTGTGTGTTTAAACTTAAATAACTTTGGAAAAAAGGCATCAAACTCCACCAGGAGGACCACAAAACATTCTTCTATGGTTCTTATAACAGTGACTCAGGATACAGACATCATCCCCACATGGAAGGAGTTTTTTTGATCACTTTTCMCAAGCTAACATGCTAGGCTAACTGAGGGATTTAAGTGACGGGACGAGCTATATTTGACCGGAAAAAGTGCAAACAACTAAGGACGTCCGCTCCAAACATTTTGTCAGAGGTAAAAGACCAACACTGGACCACCCGAATCCTATCCCTGCACTTACTGTCAATAAACAGGTACATAAACCTTATTGTTTATACTGTAGCCTAATGCTAGCTTTACTCCTAGCATCCATGCTAGTCTCATACAGCGATCTACTGCAGTCAGTCACACATACGATGACAATGTTTTACTTACACAAATTCTAAACATCACCATTATGTTTCTTTATACGATGCAGAAGTGGTGACTTGTGTTAAAAATACAGACACACACACAAACAATAGATGCAGCAAGCTAGGCTATAAAACAGTAAAAACGCCAACCTTTACAGTTTCACTCGCTTTCCAAGTCTTCTGATCTTTTGAGCTAAATGACATGCATGACCTCATGAGTGAAGGTCCCAAAAACCTAATTTAGCAGAAGCTAATCTAATTGTTTTCAAAGGTAGTGAAAAAGCAAATCCGCTAAATAAAAAATTTGTTCCAATATTAGTTAGCTGTTAGCTGGTTAGCGGATCCATGCCCACYACKGSYACTCAGTTTGACCTTCTCCAACTGMAACAAAGACTCGCTGGATTCTTATTTGWGGTTCTAACTGCACAGAGAAAACAGCATATTTGTCCCTCAGTAAATAGGATTCATGTGGACCATATTTTTAGGACAGTTAACTATGCAGCTTTTGGATGTTTTTAATTAATTTAGCCTTCACATGTGGAAATTCTCCTGTGTCCAGAATATTGGAGGTGGATGAATCAAAGGCCAAACACTCAGATAATGGCAGAAAAATCCACATGTGGAGTTCACAGAATGTGTCCAAATGTCAGCAGAGAAGCATCGTTTTCTTCTTTTGTTCTGCAGGAAGTAAAAACTACTGAAGCTTTAAGAACAAAGAAATAGTTTCAGTGTCAGACTGCGATGAAGAGAGAGATATTTTGAGTCGGAGCAGCGATGWAAACAAGGATAAAGAAAATAGAAAAATGCATCAAAAAAAGTTTGTGTGCTCATAAAAAGTGTTTATGTTCGTGTGTGACAGAGCAACAAATCAAGCGATGAAGAGAAGTGAAAGTGATGAAGGAGGCGGCAGCTGTTCGGCTATTCACTCCGAGTTTTATACAGATCAAAGCTCGAGTTTTTATTAATTTATTAAGCCCGGCGCTCACCTGCGCGAGCAGAAACACAGGAAGCTCAGTGACTTATGAGACAATAAGATGTAAAGATGGCACAACCACATCGCTGCAGACACCGGCCCGACGCTCATCCATCAGAAACACAGAGCGCATCCGGAGGAATAAAACGTTTCAGGTCATCATTCAAAGTAAATGTCATGCTGTCATTTCTGCAGAAGCAATAACACCAGCTTATTGTCAAATTATTGATGGAAAGACAAACACTGCAATGACTGTGCAAGAAAAAACCTGGAAGGAGGTTTAGAAGAAGGTCACCGTCATATGAAAACAGAAATGAGAAGCTGTGGAAGTTCTCCGTAGAGCTGTTGAGCTGCAGCACACCTTTATTAGATTCCAGGCTGTCAATCATGTCAACCGCTTTGTCTGAAGCTCCTCTTTCTTCTGCACATTATTATTATTATTGTCCATGACTTTTAGTGACCAAATGAACGAGGAAAGCATGAAAGAACCTGACGACGAGGTTTAACTGAGCACGGCTTCTTTTGGCTTCATTGGCCAGGCCTTGTGTTAGTTAATGCATGGCCACAAAATAATAAGCCATAGCCATGAGTATGTAGCCACAACTTAATCAACACGTAACCATAATTACCTCTTGGCCATGCATTAACACACAGCCATGACTTATTATGTTGTAGCCATGCATTAACTACCTTATGGTCACATATGAGCTACCTCATGGCCACACATTAACATGTGGCTGTGACTTGTTGTGGCCACGCATTAACTACCTCATGCATTAACTAGCGCATGGTCACACATGAAGTAACATGTAGCCATACTTGAGTTATCTTGTGACCATACATTTACACATGACCATGACTTATGTTGTGACCACACATTAACTACCTCATGACCACACATTAACACATGACCATGACTTATGTTATGGCCATGCACTAACTACACCATGGCCATGAATTAACTAACATGTGGCTACACATGAGTTAAGACTTAGCTACACACGAGCTACCTCGTGGCCACACAATAACTCGTGGCCAGACTAACTACCTTATGGCCACACAATAACAACATTGTGGCCACACAATAACTACCTTGTGGCCACACATTAACACATGGCCATGACTTATGTTATGGCCATGCATTAACTCCCACATGGCCATGCATTAACTCCCTCATGGCCACACATGGACACCTTGTGGCCACTCATGAACCTACATGTGGCCACACATGAAATAACAGAACTTGTGGCCACATGATTTTTTTCATCTAATGTCGACGGGCTCTGTRTTTTCTTGACTCACTTTATATTTAAAATAAATGAGATCCTTGGTTCTATAGAGAAGTTATGAGCACTATTTTWTCTCTAACTTCACTTTGGAGAAATCAGATCTAATTTCAAACCATCAGTAGTCAATTCCAAACCCTTAAAATCACATTTTTGGTTGATTTTATTTTTCTACATTCTACTTTAGTTTGTAAAATAACTATAAGCATTCAGATGTCATGATAAAATGTATTATTAACAGTCTTGTTTGTTCGGTTTGGCCTTTAAAAAGAGTTTTGTTTTGTGACCTTTAAAAAAAAAAGGAGCAGCTATATTTAACTCCATTATCTTCCTGGCTGTCATGACCCAATGGGTCCGTCGCATCAACCTCTTCCTTCACCTGYCTCACCTGTCGATCTCTCACCGTCTCATTATCAGAACTCCTGGGCGGTTCTGTCAGGTTTGAGTGGCGGACCGCGAAGCCTGTCTGTTAAACGTCATGTCTGTTTAAAAAAAAAATAAAAAATAAAAACGTCTGGTGGGTCACCTTACCTGAAGCAGAGGGACTGAAGATCGTCTGGTGAATTGTTTGAAAACAGACACCTGCAGACAAAATGATTTAACATTAATAAACACACTAATTCTAATATTGTGCAGTAATTTATTAMATCTGTGTGTGGCTTTGTACACAAACAAAAATGGCTATATCCATGAATTTACATTAAAATGTGAAAGTAGCTAACCATTGTCCCTACATAACAAACAGATTGCATATAACCTTGGCATTACCTGTCTGAGTCAACTCTTTGTTAGCAAAATATTTAATGAACYACTGAGTGGATTGTAATAAAACTTTTATATAGTAATCCTGAGATTTACTTTTATAACCAATTAATATTTGGAGTTAATCAAATTCAAGTTGCCACCACAGCTAAGAAAAAAACAATTTTAAAACAAAAATAGATTTGAGACAGAAAAACAAAGATTTGAAATTGATTTTAAAAAAAGTTTGAATATTTACAGCGTTATAATTGACAATATATGGCAGGCTGTTGTAAAATAAATATACGGTATRCCATTTTATCACGTCATTAACYATGTATGGCAGGTTGTTGTAGCATAAGGTATAAATAAGGCAGGTTGTTGTTTTGTATGTTATATAGCAAGTCAGTGTATCAAAATTTGAATGGAAGGCCTTTGTATCATAATTAAAAAGGCATGGTAGGCCGTTGTGTTATATAATTTAAAAATATGGAAAGTTGTACTGTATCTTTATCTACATATGGCAAGTCAGTGTATTACAAATGTATGGCAGGCCTTTGTGTCATATAATTAAAAATGTATTGCAGGCCATGGTATCATATAATTAAAAAATATGGCAGGTCATTTTATCATAATTAAAAAGGCATGGTAGGCCGTTGTGTTACATAAATTAAAAATATGGCAAGTTGTTGTATTGTATTTTTATCTACATATGGCAAGTCAGTGTATCACAATTATGTATGGCAGACCTTTGTCATATAATTTGAATATGTAGTAGGCTGTTGTATCATATAATTAAAAATATGGCAGGCCATTGTATCATAATTATAAATGTATGGTAGGCCATTGTGTTATATAAATAAAAAATATATGACAAGTTGTATTTTATCAATAACTAAATATGGTAGGTTGTTGTATCATATTTAATGTATGGTAGGCTGTTGTGACAAATAAAAATGTACTTTTTTTCAGTTTCAAATCATTATGTTCATTTAAAAAATGTTTTTGAGTTAATTTTTTTTCCAGTTTCAAGTTTTTTTTAATAAACTTTATGGCCTCAGTTTAGCTCCACAGTAAACCAGTTTCCATCTGTCCAGTGATCGAGCCAAACGATCCCACCTGAAGACAAAAATCATTTCTATGCCAGAGTCCTACACAAATCACGTTTGTCATTTAATATAAAGGCCCTTCGTTATAAAAAATGTCTTTGGGGCTTCTTCTTTGTAAATGTCAACCTACTTCAGAAAATGTCACCTCTCTACCCTTTTCATTAACTCACCGGCTCTCTTCATGATTATTACACCATATTCCATTACAGGGATCAGAAGCGGAGGGCGAGCCGCCTTCCCAGCTGTTTGTACTGAAGTGAGAATCTCAGGACGTCTGTCTGGATGTTCTGCTTTGAAGTGTGCTCAGTTAGTGGTCATCTCTCGTTGAAGCTTCTCCAGTTTGTCACAGATTCTTGCTCGAGGAAAGGAGGATTTCAGCTCATGTCTGAGGAAGAGGAAAGCTTTAAACATGGATTGAGGCGAAGGAAGTGTTCAAAGTTTAAACTCTAAACATTTAGCATCTGTCAAAAACCAGAGAAAAAAGTTACCTTGAACGATGAAGCTGTAAACTGCTAATGTGCTAAACCATAATCTCAGTTCCGATATTGCTAATATGCTAAACTGAAGCTAATGCTAAACGCTAAGACAGTTAGTGGGACTGACACAAACTTGTTAGTTTTCCACTGGTTTAATTTGAAGGGTGGGATCATCTGTGGCAAATCAGCTAATCCAAACCAGACTTGTTTTACTTCCTGTTGAACCCTTTCACAATAAAAGCATTTCTATGGTTGTGTTTTTACAAATAGCATTTGAAGTTAGTCAAACACTTTCTCTACCATCTTTTTTGTATTCATCATTGAAATACTGTTAAATATATTATTTCATTTTTGCAATGAATTCACGCTACGTGCTAGTAAGAGGGAAAAATAGCATAAAAACTTTTACACTTATGATGTTTTTAGTTCATCTAAAATTGGGAGAAGCCAGTTTAGTGGAGACTAATCGGTCCACTAACGATTCTCAAAGTTAGCGTGAAGCTAATCCGCAAAATGAGAAGCTAGCTCTGTTTTTAGCGTGTTAGCACAGYTGTGCCTACCATTGTTAATATGGCGATCTCCACTCATGACGTCACACATATCATTTATATAGTCTGCCATTCTCAAATTATCTGATTCTACTGAGATTCAGTGTAAATACTGAAACAAAAAGATGTTTCTAGAGTGAATTTTGACACATCCTACTTCAGGAATCACAGGAAAGATTGTATCGAGGGGTGAGGTCTTCGACAGAATTGTTAAAGGTTGGTTATTACCTGCGTCTTCTAGCTTAGCTTGCTGCATCTCATGTGTGTATTTTTATCACTCGAGAGTCGAATCGCTGATTCTGCATCTTTAAATAAACTTAACGGTGATGTTTAAAAGTTGTGTACAACATGATATTTTAAATATCGCACGAACCTCTCAAAGTAAACGTTGATGCACATTTACACCCTTGGGAGTCAACCAAATTCAAGATKGCTGCCACGGCTAATCAACCTCMGACAACATGTAAGTGTATACCTCAGTGAATTTTACAGATACTGTACTGAATGAAAATTTGCGGTGGTAGTAGCTGATAGTCGTTAAAGTGCAGTCATTAAAGTACATAGTCAAACAAAACATCTTTGTATTTAAGAAACTTGGCATATTACACATGATTTGACCCATTTTGCCACATAGCTGGTGTATTTTATTTTGAATTAGGCTCAGCAAAAGTAAAACAGGAAGTGAATCAAAGGGGAACTCTGGTTTTTGTTTATTGAAACAATATTGTATTTGAACGCTGACTCTTCTTAATCTCTCTCAGTGACTCAAAATAATCCAAAGAAACAGTTTGYGTTAGTTTTAGCAAAGCTCTGTTCACATTCAGACATTCCCCTTTGACATCACTTCCTGTTACTGCACATGCGAATTATCTACAACTGTTCACCTCGACGGTGTGAAATTTCTTTTGCAATGTCATCAGTGCTATGTYTCCAAAAACGAATTCCTGTTTATTACCAAAAATTGATGCCACAGTCACTTTAACACATAATCCAAGCCCAACAGATGCATTCACACTATTTTATGAATTTCATCATAACTGTATTTTTAATTGCTATGACTCCATTTACAACATMATTTAATGAAACTAAGAGATGGCAGGTGATTTATGCATTCCTTTAAGAAACTCAAACAGTTGTGGTTTCACGCATCTCATGTTCCCTTAAAGCTTCCTCTTCAAAATAAAAGGCGTGTYTTTGTCGTCATTGTGACTGCACACACAAAACATGTTGAACAAAGCCCTCTTTATTMTTTCCATCAATATAGGACTCGTGTCTTCATCCGTCTGTACACATCAGCCCACAGCATGATTCATTTAAGGCGTTTTGTTTCCAAAATGAAATMTGGACACCTAATATAGTCTCAGAAGGAGCCGGAGTGACACAGAGGCCTTATAAATGCAAATTGGATGAATGTAAATGAGGCGAACATGTTTCAAAATGAATACAAATGTCCAATACAATCTTCTTAGCCCGTAAAGCTTCTTTCATATTAGCGTCTCCTCTCTGTCAGCGGTAAACCTATTAGTTGATGTCTGCTGTCCGTCAAAGTCAAGGGGAATATTTGTTGCTGCTGCCATGGAAACGGTGCAATCACAGAGTGGGAGGCAGCAGTGCCACCCTTGACACCAACCCATCAACAAGCCACCCGGGCTCCTGATCCACAATGGATAATGCAGTGCTGTAACCCCCCCCCCTTCTTCCATCTTTCCTTCAACAAGCCCCCCAACTCCTCAACCGTTCATTCATTCGCTTTAATCACATCTCCAGCCCCGAATCAGACAGATAATATAAAGAAAAGGAGATGGAGCCTGTTTGAGAGGAGCATGTGTGTGAATCAAAGTGTGGACTTTGTCACAAACTGAATATAAATCTAATTAAAAGTGGCCRTGAATCAATTGCTGCTGGAACCGGTCTCCAGTGGGTGCTTGAACTCAACGAGGAGCTCAGTAATCACGTTAATGCGTTAAAGAACCTGGGTTTTATTGTAGCTGACATTTACCTTCAGGTCTGTTTTAACTGAAAACACGCAGCATAAAGCAGCTTTGCTGACAAACGGGTTGAATCAGACGTGAAGACATGAATGTATGCGACGTAGCGCGGCAGGAGGTTTTCCATCTGTGCACTTCAGCAGGTGGAAGCAATTAAACCCAATGATAGAACTACATCCACCTGCAGCTCCACGGTGTTTACATTTTGGCGAAAAATGTCATTTTTTTTTAAATTGACGTGTTTCCATTGAGCAAATTTGATTTGATTTGATTTGATTTATTGATTTAACAGGAAAAGATTACTAAAAATCAAGCCTGACTCAGCATAATTGCTGTTTTACAGCAGGTTCGTGTTCTGCAGCACATAAAACACTCAGA